AGGGCTTCATCCCACGAGACTTTGGCTTTTGCTTTTATAGAATATTCAAGAGGAGTGTATTATGTCCTGTCTGGAACTAAAATAATTAATCTATTATGTAATTTATATGAGTGTAAAAATCCTCCAAATTGTGCCAAGTTACACTTTGGAAAACAGGCAGGAGTTACGCCAAATTTGTAACGGTAAAGGACGTGTTAGGCAAGGGTTCCATATCTTTGGAACTAAAAAACCCTGGAATATCTGTGTAATTTGTGCTTCCTAAGATGATGCCTTTCAAGCTGAAACAAATCATGAGACGTTTCTGTACTAAAGACGATTGTGGAAAAAAAGTAAAGTAGACATTTTTTGACCTGTATTAATTCAGTTTGATGTAGTGATGCTGAAAGAGTACTATCTAGGTGAATAGCTTTTCTGCTACTTAATAGTCAAGTGACTTCTTTAAAATGATAACAACTATTTCTCAGAGAGAGTGCCTACATCTTTGTGTATATGTGTCTGCCTGTGGGTGTTTGTGATACATGTATTCAAATACACTCTCAGTTTACTAGTTTCTGACAAAATAAGTTGCTAGCCATATCCTAGAGTGTTCTGTAGTATCTGCTTATTTGAGTTGTACTGGTAGTACAACTAAAAAAGAATGAGTATGTTCTTTCCTTTCACAAGGTTAATGTAAATGTTTACAATTAAAAAAGTATCAGCTCAGTTTGCAAATGGTATAGTTTGTCATGCAGGACTTAAGGCATGGGTGTGAAGCATGAAAACCAAATGGCTTTGGATATTCTTAAGGCCCATGTTTAGGGGCCCATGTTCCCTTCTCACTGGTGCACTCCAGACTTGCTAGTGTTCTGCAGGCAGCTCAAGTTCAGGTTATCTGAACATTGAAGTTTCTGTTGTAGCACATAGTGTGGATGTTCTTCAAGGAAGTGATGGTTTGACCTTATGTTGTTCCCCAACAAATGATGTAAGGAGGCAAAGGGGCTGGGTAAAGTCACAGGGTCTGAAGTAGGGAGTATTTGATTCCCAGGGCTTTTCCTGCAGTTCCTGTGAAGTCTGGACCTGTGTCTTTGTCAGGAGGTAGAAGACATTGTGAAATTTAGAAATTCGCTAAGGCTTTGCTTGTGGGAGACCAAGCATTTGCCCATGCTTTTTGTACATGCAGCATACATGCAGTTGACAGAATAACTGGTTCATGAGGCAATTAATTCTCTAGACTTACAAAATGGCACTTCGAAGGTAACTTTTCAATAGTGAAAGGACCTCCAGAAACTCATCTCTTGAAATTCTTGTGTTTTGTCATGCTCAAGGGATCTTATCACTTCTGTGTTTCTAAGTTGGACCAAACAACCACAAATCACTGGAACAGTAACTTCTATATGTGATTTTTTTTTTTTTTTTTTTTTTTTTTTTTTTTTTGGTGGGTTTGGGGAAAACCCTCAAGTTTAACTTGCCATTTCTGATGGCAGAAGAACTATGCTTTCAATAAAGAAAAACTCAGAGCAGACTGAGGTGTTGTAAAGATGAAGGGTAGTCTTCATAACTGACAATCAGAGTAGTTCTTCAGGATGTCAGGGGGTAGGCCTCAGCTCTTTGCTGCTGCTGTTGAACAAGTGTATACACAGTCTGCCTTTAAATGCGCTCTCTCTTCAATAAGGGATGTCTTGGCACAATAAACTCGTAAATACGGCATCTTTAAATGCCCTAAGGCTAACAAAATTTAAAACTAAAGGATTGTGTAACCATTTTAAAAATATTTACCTGACTCTTCTCTCAAGCCTATAAAACAAGGCTTAAAAACTAAAAGGAGTCCTCAGGCCTCACAGATATTTTTTCTTTTCCTCTGTTTCTTTTCGTTTTTCCCTTTTTTCCCTTCTATGCAGATGATTTTCCTAAACCACAGATCACTGTCCAGCCAGAAACCCAGTCAGCAATCAAAGGCTCCAATTTGAGTTTTGTGTGTTCGGCAGCCAGCAGCAGTGATTCCCCAATGACTTTTGCATGGAAGAAAGACAACGAATTGCTGCAAGATGCTGAAATGGAGAACTACGCGCACCTCCGGGCACAGGGTGGTGAGGTGATGGAGTACACCACCATCCTGCGGCTGCGCAACGTTGAGTTCAGTAATGAGGGGAAATACCAGTGTGTGATTTCAAACCATTTTGGTTCATCCTACTCCGTCAAAGCCAAACTTACTGTAAACAGTAAGTATGTTACTTTTTGCTTGCGGACTTAAAGTAGAATGATTTTAATCAAGATACGTAAACATAATTTTGTTCACTCTCATCATCTGCATTTTTTAGAAGATCCTGTAATAAGCTGAGGTTACTTCTTAAAATAGGTCTCTTTACAAGATCACCATGCAGTTTTACATCTGGCCTCACTCTGCCGAACCACAGTATAGGAAACAAATTCAATTCATAGTAAATCCGACAAAATCTATGTAACAAGATGGAAAAACATTAATCTTTTCTTCACAGGAAGCAAGTGTATCCCCTGTTTCAAGGTATTATGGAAAGGTCATGGAGGCTGTTAGCAGAATGAGATTTTGATCTAGGCAGTCTCACACACTTCACAGCTCACTCCCTTTCCTTTCATTGGCTACTCATAAATTTAAGTTGTATGCTTCTCTAGCACTTTCAGGCCCAAGGTGTTAAGGAAATGCTGTGGATAACCCCAAAAGTGTGTTTCATTTATTCATTTTGATATCACTAACTTTTCTTTAGTGCTGCCTTCATTTACAAAGATCCCCATGGACTTAACCATCCGTGCTGGGGCAATGGCACGTCTGGAATGTGCTGCTGTTGGCCATCCTGTCCCACAGATTGCTTGGCAGAAAGATGGTGGGACAGATTTTCCTGCAGCACGCAAGAGGCGCATGCATGTCATGCCTGAAGATGATGTGTTCTTTATTGTGGATGTGAAGATCGAGGACACAGGTGTTTACAGCTGTACAGCTCAAAACACTGCTGGAAGCATTTCAGCTAATGCAACGTTAACAGTGCTGGGTAAGACATTGGCAATCCTTAGTAGCATCATCTTCTTGAACAACAGAACTCTTGCTGAGCACTTCTAAAATCATCAGCTGACTAAAAATAGCCATGTTACAGAAGTTCTCTGTAGTAGTAAAAATATCCTGAAATAATTTGTATTGGCACATGGTTATAGATTGGAAGTATGTGCTCCAGCACAGAATCGCTATTATGATACAAAATAATAAAAGCTGTGTTTCACAGTGTGTACACAATGTCTGATAAGGCGGGGGTGGAGGGGAGGTGGTGGAAAGGGGCTGTTATTTTTGTTTTGAGACAGGAGATTTTGCTTAACTTTTTATTTCCTGACATTTTGTTAACCCTTTTTAATCTAGTTCTCTGCAGTCTTGACCATGTATATTTGGCCTTTTTACATTTTGAGGTAGCCTTGGTCTGATCAATTGATAGGTAAACTGTAAGCTCTTAAGTTCGAATTCCTTGAGTGTGTTTTTTCTGAGAATGAGAGTAAGCTTCACTAGGCCTTACTGATGCATTTGGTTTCACTTTTCCTCTTGAGCTGTGAAGGAAAGGGACATGGTCCCGTTCTTGCAAGTCATTTAGAATGTCAGGCTTATGCTTTCTTTGCAGAAACACCATCTTTTTTACGGCCTTTGCTGGATCGAACTGTAACAAAAGGCGAAACTGCAGTCCTGCAGTGTATTGCTGGTGGTAGCCCTCCACCCCGGCTGAACTGGACTAAGGATGACAGCCCCCTCGTGGTAACGGAAAGACATTTCTTCGCTGCAGGCAATCAGTTACTAATCATTGTGGATACAGATGTAGAAGATGCTGGGAAATACACTTGTGAAATGTCTAATACGCTTGGAACAGAAAGAGGCAACATCCGCCTTAATGTAATTCCTACTCCCACCTGTGATTCTCCTCAAAACATTGCCCCATCACTTGATGATGATGGATGGGCCACAGTTGGCATTGTGATCATAGCTGTGGTTTGCTGTGTGGTGGGCACTTCCTTGGTGTGGGTGGTCATCATCTACCACACCAGAAGGAGAAATGAAGATTGCAGCATCACAAATACAGGTGTGTAAATTGAAGGTTTGCCTTGGAAAGGGAAGGAAAAAAAAAAAAAGTCTGTGGTTGCTTTGCAATTACTTTATTGTAAGAACATCTGTGTGCTTTGACTCAGAGTCAGAAGAGTGAATTACTTGTTACCTTCAGCACTTGCTGACAAGTTTAAAAACGCTTCTACAAACAACTCCGAAGAACGCTCATAGCTTCTGTGTGTGTTTTGCTTCCCCACAGATGAAACACATTTGCCTGCTGACATTCCAAGTTACCTATCATCCCAGGGGACACTTGCTGAAAGGCAGGATGGATATGGCTCGTCTGAAAATGGCAGTCATCATCAGTTTCTCACATCTTCTGCGGGAGGATATTTCTTGCAGCAGAGGGACAGTAATGGTAGGTCTAAAATGTTAAAGCAGATTTTCCGTGCTGCTTGAGTAGCTGCAGTTTGGCTGTTGTCTTTGTAACTAACAGAAATAACACTAAAGAAACACCTTGACTGAAGTTTAAGAGAGAATGTGAAATGTATTGCTTGGGATTGCTCAAACAAGATAATAACAGTAACTTGGTTCTCTTCATCCAAATGACATTATGGCTTTGTTTAAATCATGAAGTTTCTTTCTGGTTTCAAGGGTAAATTGAAACTGATGATCACATTTCCAAAACAAGAGTGTCCAAAAGGAATTACAATAGCATGTCTTGCTCTGTTATACCTTGATAACAGTGTTTTTAATGGAATGTAGGCATGGGTGGGAATACCAGTGTAACTTCAGTGTAATAAAACTGATTGAACTTTCCTGTTAGAAAAGTCATTAGGGCCAGAGTCCGTAAAGGATTTACTGCAAATTCAAAGCTGCAGTATTTAATGTTTATACATCTGGCCCCTGAGAATCCAGAACATACCTGGGTTAGAGAGGAAGAGGCATGCTGCTCAGAAGGGGTTGGGGTCAAGATATAGTAAGGAGGTGGGGCGGCTGGGAATGGAGCAGTGGTGAGATAGCAGCTGTAGGATAGTGAGAGGAGTAGTCTCTTTGTGGAGCGATTATCACAGACTGTGTCCACAGCCTTAAGGAACCACTGAACTAAAAGTCATTGTAGCTGTTGGAGCAGTCAGTGGCTCCCTCAGATTCTTCCACCTGGGACTCTTGTTAGCACTGTGTGCTCCAAAAGGTGGCTGTGTGTCCCTGGTTTTGATTCCTGTGGTTGGGTTTGTTCTGTTATCCAGGGACTGTATAACGAAGCAAATTGTGACACGTTCTTTGTCAAGCCAGTTAATTAACACTTGCTAGAATCAACAGCATTCGTAAAAAGGCTGGGTTAAACTTAAGTTCTAAATACATACTGAAATTTAGTTGAAGAGATGGGGTTCTTAAAAGAACAAGATTACTTAAGAGACTGTAAGCTGAAGCTTAAGAAAAGACCGTACGTTGATATGTCAATTTTGTATTTAAGGCATTTGTCACCTAGATAACGGCAGTGAAACGGACTTGGAGGGCGTTGCGGATCCCTTCTTGTGCCACTACCTGGGGACTTCAGGGACTCTGTATTTAAAAGGAAACACGTACAGCTCTGAGGCCTTTGAAGCATACGGTGCAAGTAAGTTTGGTGTGGGGGAGTTTTTAGTCCTAATTTGATCTGGTGCTATGATGAATCTATACAAAACCAATTTTTCATTTTCTTTAGGTTGCAGCCCTGACCAAAGAACAGCATGCCTGGACCCTTGTGAGTCTGGATATTTAAAGAAAAAGGAATACTATCAGTACTCACCTCCACTAGAAGACCCTTTTGACCAGTGTGTTGGCATTATTGGGATGCAGGCCACAAGTAGTAAATTGATTAACTCAATTTATACTCAAAATGAAGGAACTGGACTGAAGAGCAAAAGTCTGAACTTGGATGCATTTGATTTAAACAGAAGTTTGGAACCCTCATCTGTTATCAGTAACAGCACTTTCATGGGTAAGTTCTAGCTATGGGTTTTTATTCAAGCTGCTGGTATCCATGCTGTCTTGTTTATTTCCAACACTAGGCAAAACTGATTTCTCAGCTTTTTCTTTCCCACTCCTACAGCAGGTAATTCTGTAGTTGTATTTAGATGCTCACGTATCTGTTGTGAAAAAATTAATTTTGTGCATTTTTGTGTGGGCTTTTTTGCTGGTGTCTGTGAATTTAGTAAGATAATACAGCATGTAGAATATAAATACTGTAGAAAGGAGAAGGAGAGACAGGAAGTAGGTGTGGAAGGGCAGTTTGAGAGTTGTCCTTGTAATTTTGCAGGTGTCCTCATCTATTTTCTTCCCCCCCCGCTTCTTTTCTAAGTAAATTGTGATACAGCATTTTTTTTTTTTTTTTTTTTTAAAAGACTCACACAACTGAACTGTACAGGTAGGCTCACTGTCTCTCCACTGAAGTGCATGAGAACAGTTGGATGCCTGGAACTTGGGGTGCCTTCTGGATCCTACCAGGAGTTAGCCAGGAAATGGACCCTACCCTGTGTGGCAAAGGGAGCAGCTTGGGGCTTGGTCTGAGGCAGAAATGATGTACATCAAAGGAGTTGTCAGGCCAAACATGGTAGTCTAGTGAGGTGGTTCTCCTCCAGGTGTAACTGTGAGCCCTCTTCAGCTTCACAGTAAACCTGAATTCTAAGGACCATTACATCCCAAATGTTCAGGAACAGAAAAGTGATTACAGCAAAACTGCATAATGAGCATATTTAGATTACCAGGAGATCTAAATAGCTCATGCTTACATAAAAATGTCATTAGTGCTGTGATTCTTATCTTTTGTCTTAATATAGCTGGCACATTTCCATAAATATTAGCATACTTACTTAAATACACCTTAACAAACTTAAGGCATGCCAGAAGTTTTGCCTGCCAGGCAAAAGGAGTGCAAGGTCCCAGGAGGGCTCAGGGCAGGTGAGGAGACTGGAACTCCAGGGTATGAAGATATATTGTATAACAGGGTAAGCCTGAATTATCTACCTGTCAGAATAAGGAAGGGTGGAAAAATGCCCTCTGCCTCTCCTTTGTCATTTTTACTCATGATAGGTGTGACAAAAGAGTTTCCGGAAGCTTAAACTGGAGTTTACAGTTTTAATCCAGTTTACAGGGAGAGATGGGCAAAAGCAAAGGATCTTTGAAGCTCCCTAAATTTGGGTATTGGTTTGGTTGGTTTAAAATGCATATAAACCCACATCTTGCTTTCATCCCTGTGATACCCGAGTGCCAAGCGCAGCCCTGGTACCAAGGATTGTCGCCTGCCTGGCGTGTCATCGTGGTCGATCAAGGCTGGGGTCTGCTGGCTCTGCAAGGGGACCTTGGGGAACGTGCATCACTGGGCTGTTTGTTCTCAGGGGGTGGGGAGGGAGGTACAAGCTCTGAAGTTTTCCCCCTTCAAAAGCCAGATGTTTGAGCTGTAAAATGTTGCTGATGCCATGACATCTGGCAGAGGCCTTGGGACTGCGCACAGCCTTCTGGCTGGCTGCCACTATTACTGTGGTGGAACTGTGCAGATAGGGCTTTACCACATGTCTCCTGCAGAAAGTAGTTCTACGGTGTGAGGGTATACCCAGGAGTTAATCCAATCTCAAGGTCTCATATTCCCTTTTCTGCTCTAAAATTAATCTATGCAGAGTTACTTTTTTTTGTCAGTTTTCTGAGCTACTACCTACCCAAGTTGTGTTATCATTGCTTTGGATGCCTCATAATTCTTAGTACTCAAAGAGCTTATGGTTGGATCTTTGAGGTGGTGGCTGTGAAAAAAAGACTTGATAGATTTCTTGTATTTAATTTGGCTTTGATTTTTCAGCATAATTGTCTTCAAATTCAGCCCTCCTTTTTGCCTCTACAGTCTCAATGGAGAAGACAGCTGGCATTAACATCACTGTTGATGCACGAGTCTGAAAGTTCACAGCTTGGATTTATTTTTTTTTAAGACAGGATTCATTTGTTACTTTGGTGCTGTGAGGAGCATCCTTTCGTGTTGTGCTAGGACCAAAATTCCTGTGCAAGTCATTAATGCAGATATGGACCGTGTCCAAATCCATTTTTAGTAACTTCTCAGATAACAGTTTTACTTGAAGTCTTTCCTTCTAGAAGCTAAGCAAAACTACGCATACAGCTTTTTGGGTGCAAAATTTATTAATGATTGTAATGTTAAGTTATTTATAAACACTGAGTTCTTCAAAATCACCCTATGGCACATGGTCCTCTGAAAGTAAGTCATGTACAGACAGAGTGTCACCGACACTATGACTTCAGTCAAAACAGAGAAGGCCCTTCCTGCAGAGGTGTTGATGGCTGACACCTTCCCAGTGGTGAAGAGTGACAGGCACAGTAATTATTTTCTGGCTAGTGAATCCAGATAATTATTAATAAAGATTCCAGTGAAATGCCAAATTATCTCTGGGCTGTGTCTGTTCCAGCCAGTTGTGGGCAAAGAGATTAATGGGTGTGAATGGAGAATTTGGCTGGCAGCACCTTTATTATTAATGGGAGATGCTAGCCCTAAATAAATGGTTCAGCTTTCAGTTTGCACAGTGCGAGGACATTGTATAACCCTACACATGCTGGCTTTTTTCTTTTTTTTGCTGAACTGTGTGGCAGATTTCATGTGCCATTCGTTCACTGCAGAACAGAACAGGGAGACTGTTGTGACTTCTGCAGTAAAAAGTGCCCTGTGATATATTTGCAGTTGGGTCTGTGTGCCCACCTTCCCCCTCACCACCCTCCCCAAAGAAAAACGCGTGTGAGACTAGTCAAGAAAACAGAAGTAATGAAGTTGCGTGGGGCTATACATTTACTTTGGAAATGTTTTTAATGTCTCAGGTGTGGCAAAATCTTGCCTTATGCTTGTGATCACATGGATATTTTCTTTTAAGGGGTAAAATAACAGTTAAGTAAAACCTCAGTTTGGTGAACTTTTGCTTGTGTCAATCCTTGGCTCGCGTTCTAACGTGCAGCCTTTAGTGAGACACAAAACTGTTGCCATAAGTATTTCTTTACTTATTTACTGTCTTTCAGGAACATTTGGAAAGCCTTTATGGAGGCCTCAGCCAGACTCTCTTTCAAGTTGTAGACAGCCAGCAAATTGCCAGCGAAAAACCTCCCATAATAATCCTCATGCCTCACCGGACTTCAGTGCAGAGGCAGGCGAAGATGGAAAGGAAAGGACAGTTTCTAGAGGAGAAAATAGCGTTTATACGTACAAACAATCCCTTGAAAATTTTAGGACTTCTACTTTCCAATCCTGTGATTTGGATACATAGCTCCTTTTGGACCTGCCATTTATTTCTGGAACCAAAGAAATACTTTGACATGCTACTACCTCAGTGTGGAATTTTATTTAAAAAGGGGATAAGGGAAGAAAGAATTCAGAACAAATAAATGCATTTTTTATTCAAATAAAGCATAATTGCCAAAATGCTTTACATTTTTATACAGGGAAAACATTCCTTATAAAAATACTATATTTCTAATTATTTTATAGCTTTGTTTTATGCATATAGTATCTTTTGTAAATTAATGGTGTAAATAATACAGCATATGTATTTCTATGTCAGACTTCATTTTATTGAAACAAGTAGTAAGCATTCTAGTTTTGTACCGTTACTTGTACATTTTTACAAATGGAAACTCCATGCTGTTTGCAGGTATCATGCATCTTATTTGCACATTACTGTTTTAATAAAATATGCTGCCATGTGGTCTCTGACCCACATTTAGTGTATGAAGAATGAGAGCTGTGAATTATGTTTGTAGATAACGTTGCATACGTAGGTGCTTTCTGTTGCATTTGCACCTTTGACAAACCCTCGCATCTTCAGATTTACTGTGTTAAATACGTTCAGCTTCTAAGAGTGGGTGTGGTCCTGCCACAGCTGCTGGTAAGGTGGGTTGGTTGAGGCTGTTTGTGCCAGAATAAGTATGCAAATCTTCCACTTTGTGAATTCCCACTGTTGGACATGCGTGGACGTGTTCTCAGTTTTCATGCACACAAGTCATGTTGGTACACAGGCTGTGGTACCAACAGTCCACCCATGCCTGTGTGCAAATAGGGTGCATGGATCTGGTGGAGGATATCCACAGTAGGTGCACAAGTCCATAGCAACCTATTCAGTAAAAGAAATAAAAAAGCCACTGGATATCTGCAGCACGCTTTTCTAAGTAGCTTAATGTTAAGTGTTTGCCAAATATGCGGTGCATGCCTGAGTCTTTGCTTTCCCATACCCTTTCTCCCTCTTCTTTTGCTGATGCAGCCGTTTCCATGCCCAACATGAGAAGGTAATCCAAGTACAGGATAATGTTTTCTTTGGTTTAACTCGTGCTTCTTTCAGTTCCTCACTCTGCTGTCCTTTTCTAGTTGTTGATAAGATCTGTGCTTTACTCGGTTGCTCAGTCAAGTTGAGCAATTGTAAATTCTTGTTGGATTAAATTTGCAGTCATCAGCCCAGTGCCTTTAACAATACCAGGTCAGAGAAGGAGAACTGCTTACTATAAAATGGTAACTAAAACTACGTGAAAACACTCTTCTTTTGGTTTTCTGTGTACAGATGCTTACCATTTTAAAACGCTGTGAATCCTGTCGTTGTCACTGCGTTAAAACGGGGAGACTCCAAAATGGTCAATATCACAGGACATTGGCTTTTTAAATCTGCCTACTTTGAAGGTGCAAACTTACACTGTTGCCAAATTGCTTCTTTTAAACTAAATTAAAAACAGCTGTTAGGGTAGGCCATCACAGACATCATGGCTAAAGCTGGAGCAAGGGTTTCACTGCCTTGTGTAGCTGAGCTAAGGGCTTTTTGTTGTTCGTAGCCAGAAACCTGGTACCCAGATTGCGATGCAATTTCCCTTTAATTTAGGCGCCAGTATTACAGGCAGGAAGTTAATCCATCCTTAGTCACTGGTGGTCTAAGTGTAGAGAATGGATTTTGCGTGCTTTAGATGATCATATTGCCAGATTTTCTGACTCTTATTGTTAATTTGTCTTCATTGCTGCCAGATGTGCTGCTGTGGTGACAGACATTGATATGGGTATTTGATTATAATTAAGTGCATTTTGAAAGAGATTAATTTTTTCTGAGTTAAGCACAAAGCTATAAGTCAGTAAGGCAAGAAATCTTAAATCTAATTCATTTGATAACTCTCTTTTTTCTTCCCCCACAGTGACCCTGGCTTTTTTAGGGGCAGGAGGGTCGGGAGCTGTTGGTAGCTTGTGTTTGTAACCAGATATTGTCTTTTGTCCTTTTTTTTTTTTTTTTTTTTTTTTTAAAAAGTTAAAACCAGTAAATCCATCTTTCATTCCAGAATTAATATTTATCCTTAGGACTCCATGTTAAAGTTTTACTGTGAAAAACAAGCTTTAAATTTATTTTCTGTAGTGTGGGAGGGTTGGGAACAGTGGCAATATAATTCTTTTTTAATCTTCTCCCTTAAATGCTTTTTTCTTACTTGCTGCTAGTATAAAGATCCTAATCTTCCAAAGCATGGAACTCTGTACCCAAATAATTGTTCAGGGTCAATGACTGAGTCTCAGGTGTGTCCCATCGAGTTCTGTTTGGCATCCTAAAAATACAAATTACTAAAAATTTTTATTGGATGCCTTAAATACCCAGAAATGGAAAAGAGTGCTCCTGAGTTCTCTGTTCTGCCAGTGTGACTTTTCATGATCATAGGTTGATTGTGCTTAAATACAGTGGCAATAAGTAAATTACAAGATACTTGCAATATCTTAATGGTTCCTTTTAAGACCACTGATGTAACCAAACATTGTTTTAAAAGCTCACACGTTCTTTTGTCTTCATTCCCTTTCTTTTCTTCTTTTTTTTTTTATTTTCTTTCCCCCTCTGAAGCTGCAGATATTAAGGTTGCTGGTAGCTTGGTATTTACACAGCTGAAAGCTAAATTGTAAGGTGATGTGATGGGGAAATAAATTGCAGAAAAGACTGAGTAAAGCTTGCACTACATCTCGGAGTCTTTGAGAAACAAGTCTTGCTGAATGTCAAAACAGACATTGGGCATCTCTCAGTTTTAAAACCAGCAGCAACTGGAGCCTTGACATGGGCTCACTTGTAAAATGTTCTTTAAATGCAGTATCCTCTTAATGCTTTAGAGAACAAAATGTTTTACCCAATGAATCCATACAAACAATTGCTGAGGTATAGTCCCTGCAAACCCTGAATAATTACTTTAATAAATTTTGACAGATAAATTACTTGTCTACCAGAATCTTGCTGCAGCAAAAGCATTTCCTAACTGAATAACCTAAATGATGTGTCTGAGATGACACTGGGGGGTATCTGTGTAGTTTCTTAACTGAAGGCTGTTTTTATTTCCTACACAAAAAAAAAAAAAAAAAGCTATGGAGTGCTACAGTGCTTTGGGACCAAATGCTTTCATTTAGAGTTCTTTTGCTTAACTGTAAGTGGATCCACAATGGCAAAGAGTCAGGCCCAACCTTTCTGCCTAGGAATATGACTGCTTTTCCACCTGAGGACTCATTAGTGTCACCAAACACTTCTTATTTCAGTCTCAGGGATCTCTTGAACACTTAGGTTTTATTTCTTGAACTACTTCAAAGAAGCTTAAAACTAAGACTTAAGATTCAAGATTCATTCATGAAGGCTTATACTGCAAACATTTGTGTTCTGCCAGGACCATAATTGGAGACTGTTTATTTTCAGGTATAAATATGAGCAGAAATTTTACTTGCTACTTGCAAGACTTCTTGTTGCAGATGTGGCACATCTCAGAGAAGTGTATTTTCTCAGTGAAGTCTTGTACAAATGAGAAAAAAAATGGACATCACCTTGTCATAGAGAATGTCTGACCAGCTGGATGTTGGTTTAGCAGTTGTATTGAAGAAAATAGGAGAGACACCTATTTTATGCCTGTTTAGTCAAGGGAGGAGACCGGTGTGTGACAAGGTGCAGTTCTTAAGCATAGCAATTTTACTCAAGTGAAGAGCTTACCAGCTTCCTTTATTATATTTTAGGGAAGTGCTACAGCAGAGAGTAACAGCCGGAGTGTCTTTGCTCACTTCATGTGGCAAAAAGGGCCTCTCACAGTTGTTGTGCCTATTAGGAGTTACTGGAAATAGCATGTGTACATCCTGTCAAAAAAAGGTTCAAGAGGCCTCTCCCGTTTCCTATGCTGCTTTTTCTCTTGTAGCTTGGTACTGCTCCCATGTCCTTTGGGGGGACCCTCTTTGGTAACCCACAGTACTCTGTTTCCAGTTTCTTTGCTTGCTCTGTCACTGGTTACAGGCAAGAGCAAACGTGTTCAGTTTAGAGAGCACAGTGTAGTTGGAGGCAAAGTCGGTGGCTGGGCGCTAGGGGAAAGGAGGCAAGGCCTGAGGAGACAGGCCAGCTTTAGGAGGCTTTTGGCATGAATATGCAGTAAATGCAAAACTGAGGAGACGTACAAAATATTTATAATACAATACATACCTTTCTATGCTCTACATAATACTTCTGTATTTAATTCCACTTACTCTCTGTGCTCTGAAGTGCCAAAATCAGCTATGCACTGAAGAGCATATCATCTCGAGAGTTACCTTGCTGCATCTAAAATCTGCTTTCCTGGCAGACAAGAAAGAAGATCCATTTGTTATTCTGTGTTAGTGTTCAAGGCTAAATATTACTGGTGCAGTGCATTGTTTCCCAGAGTCATGTGGTCCGTGGGGCCCACTGTGTCAGAATGCATGTGATGAGTGTGACTTCAGAATGCCATGGGACAACAGGAGCTGAAAGTGAAGTTGATAGTAATTCAAGTTCACTGCTTGTAAAACAAGTTTAGTCTTTGTGAGTTGAGTCCAGGATTTTATTTCCCACACAACAGAGAACAGAAGCATAAATTACTCAAGTTTATGGACTATTGATACCACTTCATCATGATCACTTTTCCACAAATATCAATACAGTGACTTCCAAGCACTTTCTTTTTATACCTGTTCAGTTTGACTGTTGACCATGGGCTGCTTGCCAACAAATAAAATACCAGAGTTATCAGTTTAAGCACCTGTATATGCTCTGTCTTGAAATTAATTTTGACTGATTTTAAACCCTGGAAATTTCAAGTCTGATGGCACTGAAAATTAAGAGTTTAAGTGTCTGACTGAACTAATATGATCCCCTGAACGTAAAACATGTTTTGAGATTTTGTAGGCTATGATGCCTTTACTTGTATGCAGCACAGTTTAAAGATCCTCTCATTTGCTTGTTCTTAGTGACAGCACGTGGAGAAGCTGAGAGTTAAGCTTTGTCCTTCACTGCTGGACAGTCAAATTCAGGTATTGATTATACAGCCATTTGAAATAATATTTTCTTGAACTGTAAGCCTTCAGCTTCCTTTGAGGCAAAATGATGCAAAACCAGATCAGTTCCTATGCAGTTAAAAAAAAACTTCATTGGGTACTGATCCTGCTGTCCAGTCTACTTATTTGAGAAATCTGAAAATTGCTGTAATGAAGGCATTGATATTGATGGCCTGAGGTTTTGTTTATACTGCTGTCTTCCATTTTGTGTTACTGTAACAGAGGATTTGGAAGCAATCAGAGTTGCTGTAAGTCAGAGCTACAGAGATAAGGTTAAGTGTATGTAAGAGAGAAAGGCAGGAGTTCCTGTCATATCATAAAGTGTTTTTGAATAATCCTGTTGTTCCAAGTGAATAACTTCTGCATGTTTTAACATTTGCTCCCTGATAACAGAGTTCATAGAATC